TGAGGAGACCTGTGCTGGGTCTTTTGATGGGAACTTTGTTTGTCAGCCAGTAACTGGAAAAGAAAAAAGCACACAGAAGAGAAGAATTTAGAGAAACATACAACACACCCTACAGTAAAGTATATACTATGTGGAATCAAAGTAAATTAAATTTGAAAAGTATTGTTATGAATAACATTCAAAAGATTGTTGAAGAAATAACATATTTCTCAAGCACTTAGAAAAATTAACATATTTATTTTATTTTTCCTTATCCTTTATTTTCTTGCTTATTTTTGAGGTCATACAAATAGTCAGGGGACCTAGAAAGTGTGTAAATATTACCGTGGACTATCGTATTCAAAATGAATTAGCAGCAAACATTTATAATAATATACAGAATAGAATCTTCTCAGAAAGTGTTAAATATGACTGTAAACGACACAGTAATTGGGCAAAGATTAGGTAATTCTCCTAGAAAAAGAGATTTTAAAACTTTGCCCATAGGTTTTTCAAAATCTCTGATATTTCAATTAAAAATCCAAACAAATGCTTTGCTTGCCTTATACTAACTGACTTAATTTCAATTGTCCAAACCCCATTTTACAAAAGCTAATTAAAAATATTGCCTCAACCCACAGAAAAACAGCATAAAACAAATAACATATAAACATAAACAATTCACCATTTATTCAGCTTAACATTTTGTTACATAGGTAAAATAAATTAATGCTGATCAGTATTTTATACTATTCATTTCAAAGGCAATAAAATACTCCAAAATGTTCAGATCCATCATTATTGCTAAACTTTGTTCACCTGAAAAGCACGCAAACTCACAAGTTAATCATCACCCCTGGCGAGGAAGGGGGTTTCCAATACTTCATGGCATACTCATTATCTTATATGGAAACAGCTAAAAGAGGAAGGGCATAGATTTTCTTTAACTTTCAAAGTTGTCCAATTACAAATAGAATAAAGTTAATATATATATTTTTTTAATTTTTGTTTTTACTCTTATCTCTTATTTGGGGAAATATATACTCTGCCTGCCATTCAAATGTAAAGTGGAAGATTCTATTAGATTCTGGTCATTGCTGTATTTACATATTTGCCTTAGATTTTATACAATATTCTTTCCTTTGTCTTTTTTTTTAAGATTTTATTTATTTATTTGACAGAGAGAGACAGCGAGAGAGAGAACACAAGCAGGGGGAGTGGGAGAGGGTGAAGCAGGCTTCCTGCTGAGCATGGAACCTGATACAGGGCTCGATCCCAGAACCCTGGGATCATGATGTGAGCCGAAGGCAGATGCTTAACAACTGAGCCACCCAGGCACCCCTCCTTTGTCTTCTTTTTTAAATAATTTATGAAGCTTTCCAGGGGACACCAAATACACCTAGACTATTGAATGTTGACCAAGAAATACTGGACTTTGAAACATTCCTATATTCAAATAGGGAAAATACACTTATCCACCATCATTCCTCTTTCTTTCCCCCCTTCTTTTCTCCCCCCTCCTTTGAACAGGGATTGACTTTTTACATTTTTTAATTCTCTAGTTGGTTGAACGTCTCGTGCTGAATGTTTTGAGCAATATGAAATGCACTGTAGCTCTTTTGTTATCAAAAGTGTTTTAAGGAAGCCTATTTTCAATAAAGAAGATTCATAAGGAATTTTCAGAGATTATTATTTAAGAAATTTTATCAATATAAAGATAGCTAATGAACAAAAACCATAGCATGTGCATTCTTAGCATCATGAAGAAACCATAGATATTGGTTTTGTGCAAGGAGCTTACAATACAGTTTGAAGGTTTTGAAGAGACTGATACAGCCGAAAGCTCTTTCAGCTTTGAGAAAGCAGATGTTCAAACACAAAATGATTATTATTGGAAAGTTTTGTGAATGTGATCTGTATGTGGTTACAAATGTCAGTCGATGAAGTTGGTTAGTTAAAAAAAAACGCGTGTTATTTATAAATTTTTAAAGCGGCTGAGGCCAAGTTCAAACTCAAAAAATGATTAGTTCTATCGGGGAACGTCAATGATCGGGAATAGTCTGGCAATACAAAGGTCGTGCTGAATTACCTTATTCCTGAAGTGAGAAAAGAAAATAACTGTCAGGAAATAATATAATGCTATATTATTTGTAGGGGACTCCAAGGTCACATTTATGTGTGAATTCAAGAACACATTATAAATAAACACTTCCCATTTTCTGGAGAGATTTCCCGGATAGCCACTCAACGATGATCAAGCGTAGACAAAATACCAAAGCAACTTTTATATGTAATACAAATAAGTAGTTATAATATTAGAAAAAAAAACGCCAAAGACAAAATTATTGGCCTAAATATTTTAAAATACTGTCAGAGATATACAGGCACTCAACATTTTTTGATCCAGGGCACCGCATGCTATACCACAAGCAGAAAATGAGTGACGGCGTCTTCTTACCCTCAAGACTCTGACATCTAAAAGCAGAGCAGGTAAATGAGCATAATGGAGACATCAGCACATCCAGAAGAAAACAAGAGAAAAATGTGATTCCTGGGACAATTCTCAAGTATGTGATGTGATTTCAGTGAGGATTTTATAGAGGAAATAAATTTGTGACTTTTGGAATAGGGGAGATATACCCGGGCTATTAATTAACTGATATTAAGAAAAATTGTGTTTTGAAAACTAAACTCAGATCGCAAATCATCCTACTTGAAAATAATGGGTAGAGAGGCTTTAGAAACTTGTTACTTTAATCTATGCAGTTCAAACACTGGTGCTAATAAATGTTGCTTTAGAAATCCTAAAGCTTTCTGATGTTTGGCTTATAACAATTTGACTAATTTCAAAGAAAAAAATGAACTACCCATTTTCAGGACATTTTTGGAGAAAAAGCACAAAATAAATGCCGTTTTAGCAAACAGATCTTAATAAATGGTATCAACATGTAACTGATAAATTGAAACGAAACCTTAAAGCAGGTTGGGAACTAAGGCCACAGCTAATAACATTCTGTGAAATTAAAAAGACACAGGAACTGATCCGAATATAGTCAGTAAGAATTTCCTATGTGCTTATTATAAATCTAATGTCGGGCTTGAAATTGTATAGGCCGACATAAATTACCGATATTCAGTATTTGCCCAGGAACATGTTCCATATGTGAAAAGGACAAAAATGGATATTCTTTTTAAATTCTATTAGCACAGTCAGTTAGATAGTATCTGCCAACTTTACAAGCCAAAATCCAGAGAACAATTTTAAAATCCATATCTGGAAGTATCTACTTATGTACAAGCTGACATTTAAAAACCACAAATTTCTTGTGAAGAGTTAATCAAAAATAGAATGTTAACTGAAGTTTTTAACCCCAAATAGGAAAACATAGAATTGAAAATAATACATATATAAAATAATGAACTACTTATATTCTAATTCAGTATAAGCTGTTCTAATTTTTATCTCAAATTCGTTTCTGTTGTAGTTTAAAATTGGCAATGTTTTCAATTCAGCAAATAATCTAGTTTCCATGTATGTGTTTCTTTTTATAGAAATTGATTTTTTTAATCATAAAATCAGTGCGGGCTCCCTGTAGAAAATTTGAAGAAAAAAGAAATGAATGAGGAAGAAAAAATATTACTTATAATCCAACTACATAGAGATAATTACTGTTATAATGTGCAGCATCCTCTTGTTTCCCTAGCTGTTTTGGATCTTAATATATATTATATTATATATTATATTGATACATATTATATATATTAATATATAATATATAATAAAATATACATATTATATAATGATTATATGTATTATAATCATTCATACAGAGAGTGTTTTTCACCAGCTAGGCTAAGTTTTATTTCAGATACTATTAATTCCCTCCCTCCCTTTCTTTCTGCTTCAGTGTTGTAATACTCTGCCTTGTTGTGTGAAACAAACTCACCCTGGATTTTAAGTGTAAATTGAACATTTCTAACTTTTTATAGATGCAATAGCCTCCATAGGTCTCAATCCTTCCCAGCATGGAAGCTCTGTTCATGCCAAGCAAGTGTCTTACCTCCCTTTCCTCCAAAATATCCATCCCATTTCTTATTTCAAACCAACTCAACACTTGCAATGTCTACCCACCAAATCAATGTCACTCCTTGGGAAAGCTACTTCACTTCCTTGCACCTCAGTTAGTAATATTTAACCTGTAAGGTTGTTATGATAATGCAAAAGAGATAGTAAGTATGAAGGTCATTGCACAAGCTTGACACGTGGTAAGTAATATTAATTGAATTTTAACCTATCCCACAACAACCCATTCCTCAGTCCCACTCACACATCCTACTTCTCTCCTGGTGCCTTGCATAACTGCATATTGCCTGGAGAATTGTGGTCATGTCGTTTAACCTCAAAGGGCATGTTTCTTTAGTTGAGAAACAAAAACATTTAATTGTATGGCTTTCAGGTTTCCTCTATCTATAAGATTCTATGGCTGTTTCAAATCTTCTCTCTCCATGAAACTGCACACTGCTTGAAATTGTGTGAAACACTCTTGGTTCTTCTCTGCTACCCCCTCCTCATTCTGTTCTCTTCAACTTTTTTTCAGGTTTTAATACACTGAAAAGTAAAGAAAGTACTCAATATAGTAGTTTTGGTATTAAAGCCCACAATAGCTTAGATATTATCTCATAATCAAATTAGGTAATAATCACCTGGTAAGCCAAAATATATTATTTCAAGCAACCAACATTTTCAAAATAAAAGAAAAAACTTATCTTCAACAGCATTCAGCATTTGATATACTCACACTCAACAGTTTGGCAAAAAAGGAACATTAATTTGCATTTACATTTAACTAAAGAATTGTACAAATTTAGAAGTAGTATTTTTTCCTCTTAAGATACTATTCTTCTAAAAATCAAACATGAAAATTTCTAGAAGAATATAAAATATAATATAAAATATTCTAGAATATGGAATTCCACTGTGCCAGTTTTAATATATTATTTGCAAAGTTTCCATTTATGAACCCAGCAACTCTTTTCTCAGGAATGTGATATGAAGTACATAGCATAAGGTGCCTGTGCATACGATTTCTCCTCTCTTATTTATCTTCCCACAACTGAGCTTTGTCCTTGTCCTGCAGGAAGATTCTGTTAAGGGTAAGTAATATGGCTTCTGGGTCTGAAATGTCTACAGAAATTTGAGATATTATAAAAGAATTAGCTTTCCATAATTCATCTTTGCAGAAGATGGGTTCATCTCCCCAATTCCATACTCCATGCCGCAAAACTAATTTTTAATAATACCTGAATATTATACACAAGTGTTCGGATATTCTGTCCTCCATATTTGTTAATATGTTGATTCATTCTTAGAAAAAGGACATGTGAATAAGCTGTATAATATAAAACTTAAAGCAGTCATTCCAGGGCATATTGAAATGGAATATCTCTGCTGTTTTGTTTTCAACTGTTCACACAATCCTTCCATTGTATTCCCAGTCTATGGTATGCTCCATCACATGAATCTACTTTTGAAAGTGCAGAAAACTTAATTTTGTTTCAAAACTGTTTTGGTAACTAATGAAGTATTATATGTTGGCTAATTGAATTTAAATTTAAAATATTAAGATGAATGAAAATATCCAAAGACAACAATAAAGTGTGGCTATATGGAAAAAAATTTTTTAAAAATACATAAATTTGTTTTGGTAAAGTTTATAATAACTCTTATCAAGATTATGAAATAGCTTGTCTTTCTATAACAGTAGGTTGGTGATAATTTCTTTAAAAACAGAAAAAGAACTTCCAGTACTGTACTCACAGAGAATAATTCAGTCCACCATGAATTAATCCTTATAGTATCCCATTAAAGCAAAAAGCGATGCATCTTAGATCTCCCTCTCATGTGAAGAAACAAAGGGATAGAGAGGCATATTTCATGTTCTTTGGCAAGCTAGGAGTAAACCCAGGAGTAAAAACGTAAGCAGTGTCATACAAGGTAGCAATGATAATACTAATTTATTGAGTGTTTATAAAGGACCAGAGACCCTGTTAAGAGCTCTACCTATGTTGTTTTTCTCATTTAATCCTCATCACAAACCCTAGAAAGGATGCCAGTTCACAGATGGGGACACCGAGGCTTGGGCAGGTTAAATAAGCAGTTTAAGGTCATGGAAACTGTAGGTGACAGGGCCAGGTTTCAAGCCCACACCTAGATGGCTATGATGATTTCAATTTTAACTAAAAAGGAATGGGATTGTTTAACTTCTCAAGAGAATTCAGCTTGGAATAGTAATTTCCTGGGTACATTTTCAACATAGGGTTCATATGGGGAAAAAAAATAGTTCTGGATGGTCTTCTGGCAATTAACAGTCTGGTGTCAGTGGTGATGTGTTTTACACATGGAGCTTTTTGGTCTTTTTTATTTCTTTCAAAGGTAAATAAGAGCTGACCCACTTTTCCCATGAACACTCTCAAAAGTATTCCAAATCAGATGATTTTGTAGTTTCAGTACATAACTTAACCACATTGCAAATGTCAAAGGCAGTGACATTGTATCAAAGGGTAGGGATTTCCACGCAGAGATGAATAAGTTTCTTAAGGTATCTGTAAGTGTTATTAAAATGAAAGCAGGGATTGTAACCTCAAGGGGTCAATTTGTCAATATGTTTTCTAGGTGTCCTCTGCGTGCAGAGCTCTATATGATTATATTGACCTTCAAAAGCCTGATTCATCAGAGGCATAGAGTTCTCATGGCATGGAGAAGGGAGTAGGAATACTAAGTTAGGGCCCCAAATCTCTATATTCTCTCTGTGTTATGTCCACTACAGGAATCAGGCTCTGACCTTAACTCTGAATCTCAGCCTTCTTTTTATCTAGCCAGATACATAGCCTGGTTGAGCATAGATAGTATTACAAAACTCAAGATCTATGTTGGTTTTGCCAAGTGTCTGATATTTTATTAGTGGAACATATAACTCTTGTTATTGTGGTATTAGTAATTCTATTTCATATTCACAGTTTTAAAGTCTTTTCACATGCTCCTCATAAAATTCTGTTATAGATGCTGTGGTATATATTATCATTTCTACTTCACAGTAGATCCAGTGAAAAGTTCAAGATTTGTCTGAGTTTTCTCAGCCAATGTGCTGTACGCTGTTTGGTAACTGTTTAACAGCAAACACTAATTAGGGGAGAAGGAATTGCTGATTTGTAGCCTTTGCAAATTTCTGTGTTGTAAATACTCCCATCAGGGCTGAGTTCAAGCTACGGACCTGACATCAGTGAACAGTGAAGAGGGAAGAGACGGTACAATCCACTCTTGGCAGCCAGCACCAGCTAGCTCCAGTACACGACCAGCTGTAGGATGCACAGAAAATATTCTCCATGACCTGTAGCCCCATAATGTTGCACAAGAAAATTCAACATTAAAGAAACTTGCCTAGAAAAATTTCCAGGTAATTGTTTATATGCACCTCATTTGTAAAAAGAGAAGATGGGGGTATAATTTGCTTCTTATGATATAATAGAGAAGTTTAACATTATTATACAATGAAAACAGAAAGAGATGAATGAGTCTTCTATTTTTATCTCTCAAATAAGATATTTAAGCCCAGTGTTGGATACACAGCAGATACTTAATGAGTGCATATTTAATTTATTCTTGCTGGAGTTTTAGAGATTTTTAGTGTTAATAAAAGGGAACATATTCATGGTTTGGCATTCTCTGAGTGACAGTACTTAATAGGATAAGCACTGGAAAAACTGGAGTTTTGACTTTGATCTACCTTAAACTAAATATATGATCTCGGGCAAACCACTTAAACTTATTCAGCTTTAGTTTACTCAACAACAAAATGAGATTTTTATTTTTTTTAAAGATTTTATTTATTTATTTGAGAGAGAGAGAATGAGAGACAGAGAGCATGAGAGGGAGGAGGGTCAGAGGGAGAAACAGACTCCCTGCCGAGCAGGGAGCCTGATGAGGGACTCGATCCCGGGATTCCAGGATCATGACCTGAGCCGAAGGCAGTCGCTTAAGCAACTGAGCCACCCAGGCGCCCCAACAATAAAATGAGATTTTTAATATGATTCCTACTACATCTAAAACTCTCATTTTTAAAAGGTCACAAGTAATCTGAATTCAGATTGAGGAACATGAGAGTTCCTCCATTTGCAGCTGGAGTCTTATGTTTTGCTTGTAGTAATTAACTACTCCTACTTTTGTAATGTGTGATCTGACATCACATGCAGCATATCCCTTCAATAATGTTATAGAGCTGTTGGATAAAATCATCCCTGCTAAAAATTTAACATCATACCCAGTTTCCTATAATACTTGTATCTAGTGGTCAGAAAATTTTCTCTACTTACAAATTCATAATAAATTGATTTTGATTATTTAAGAATTATAAAATTGTCCATCATAATTTCAAAGATAAAACTAGTGGAAGAGAATAAAGTGAAAGAAAATGGAATCTTGCTGAGATGTGAGAAAAATTAAAAACAGAGGGGATCCTTTAGACTTTATTTACCATGAAAGAAATCAGAATGGAATTTAAGTGGATCACTCCAAAAGTATATTACATGTTGGTTAGATTTTGGTGAAAGAGAATTAAAAAAATAATTATAGATGAATTCTATATTGTATCTATTAAAGATGGGGGTGCCTGGCTAGCTCAGTTGGTGGAGCGTGCAACTCTTGATCTCAGAGTTGTGAGTTTGAGCCCCACATTGGGTGTAGAGATTACCTAAAAATAAAATCTTAAAAAAAGATATTAAAGATAATATCTTTGGGGACTTCTCAAAGATTATACTTAAAACTTGAACTGGTGCATGGGGTATGGCAAAAAAAAAAAAAATGAAGTAGATGTAAAGCCACAGGTGTTAATGACCTTTTTTTTTTTTTTTAAAGATTTTATTTATTTATTTGACAGAGAGAGACAGAGTGAGAGAGGGAACACAAGCAGGGGGAGGGGAGAGGGAGAAGCAGGCTTCCCGCCGAGCAGGGAGCCCGATGCGGGGCTCGATCCCAGGACACTGGGATCATGACCTGAGCCGAAGGCAGACGCCTAACGACTGAGCCACCCAGGCGCCCCAATGACCTTCTTTTTTAACCCAATTGAACTCTGAAAGGCAACTGAAATTTATGATCTGAACTGCCAGAATGAGGAAGTGATGACATCCAAAAGGTGAAATACTGGAAACAGAAGGGGGATGGTCTTTTGAAACATGATGATGGAATTAAATAAGGTTAATGCTAATGTGCCTTGTGTCTGATTCACCTTATGAGAGCAGATTGCTTTCTGAAGGCCAAAAATTATGGAAACCTTGGCTTTTTCCTATTAAGATTAAAAGGAAACAAACCATTTATCAGAAGATGTGGAGTCCTACAAGAAAATAAATAAATTAAAAGCAGGTGGGGATAGGTAATCCTAAAGCTTAGCAAAAATGGGTTAGATATTGAAAGATGAAAATGATAGCAGTATTTTATCCATGCAAATTTTTTTCTTTACATAAACATTATTCCAAGAAGGCACTTAGAGATTGTATTTCCACATTCCCAGACAACATAAAGACAACTCTCAATAAAAGTCCCTTTTTACTATGATAAAATATAAACAACTCTTCTAATGGTTTGATGATCTTATTTTAGCTTGATGTGGACAATTTACAAATGGGTATGCCCAGTTTCCATCAATAAGTCAGGTTACATTAACCTTCCAAATAGGAATTGTGCTAAAATCTATTTCAAGAGGAGTAAAGACCAACAAATATGATCTATAATCCATTCAATAATGTAAAGTGCTTGCTAGCAAAGTATACAAACTACACATAAGCCAAAGATCAGACTTCTTCTCAAAGCCCAGTGTGAAGGAACAAAATCACGATAGCTATAAGCAAGTTCAAAGTAGTTCTTTAAAGCCTTCCCAGCAAGTATCAAAATGATAGCATTTGGGGAGGTTAGTCAAATTTAGATCATTATTTTCTATATTTATTCCTGCCATAAAGTGTGCAATACTGAAGGGACTGCCCATTTAGACAATCCTTGGCATAAACTTATCACTCAATAAATGGCTTTCTGCGAGCATATAAGTTGATAAAGGGGCATCTAGCTGAGGGAAAGGCCCCCATGAAGGAATATTGCTAGGGCAATGCCCCTAATGCAGGCTTTGGGATTTGAATTATATTCCAAAGCTACTTGTCACTAGAAATACTAGTGCTGTAATTCTGTCCCAAGATTAATTAGGGGAAATTTTATATTTTTATCCCTGAAACTTTGAAGGACTCTGAGGTGTTACATAATATTTTCATTAAGTCAAACATTAATAAATGCTTGAGTATTTTTCCCTCCAGATCTCAGTCTCTATTTGATGAAACTCCAATCTGATGCAGTCAGTGGTAATTTTCCTCCTTTTCCTCTTTCAGCTTCACTTAATGCCAATCCTTTCATTGTATTTTTAGGTAGAATCATTTAATTTATAAATCACATTTATAAAATAGTTGCTAAATGGAAGCCCATTAGTAGAAATTAAAAAAAAAAATGTTCTTATTTTCTGAGGAAATAAAACAGTGAAATACAGCTATAAAGATAACTACATTAGGTAATAAGGTATTCTTTGCAATAGAAAAGTATAAAAGTGGAAACAGTACTACAAAATCAGGCTATCATGTAACAAACTGTACCTTGACTGAGATGTGCCCCTATTATGATGTTTGTCATAATATTCAGTTAAAATGCAATGTTGAAAGAATGAAGTTGTACCCCTTCATCATACCATAAAAAAAAAAAAAGAACTCAAAATGGATCATAGACTTCAACCTAAGAGTTAAAACTTTAAATCTCTTAGAAGGAAATACAGAAGTACTGTGACCTTAGGTAAAGCTTTTACTAGATAGCAACAAAAGAAAAATTTAATTGGACTTAATCAAAATTAAAAATTTTTGTGATCCCAAAGATTCCATCAAAAGAGTGAAAAAACTCACAGAAAGGAAGAGAATATCTGTGAATCACATATCTGATAAGGGACTTGCATCAAAAGACATAAAAAACTCCTAAAACTCAATAATAAAAATATAAAAAACCCCAATTTTAAAAATCAGAAAAGGCATAGATATTTTTCCAAAGAGGATATACAAATTACCAACATGCCCACGAAAAGATGGTCAACTAGAATGGTTATAATAAAGAAGACAATAAGTGTTGTTGAGGATATTATGGAATTGGACATTCATATATTGCTGGTACCTCTGCACGAGAGTAAAATGGTATAGACCCATTGGAAAACACTCCAAAGTTCCTCAAAAGGTTAAACATGAAGTTATTATATTTGTAGCAATCACACTCATAGGTAGAAGATTCTCTCCTCAACCAAATTTCGTTAGACTCCTCTGAGCTCTCTTCTCAACTAGGCATCTACTTTGGCCATCTGTGTCCATCCTTGTTGAGTCTAGTTTTTAGCAAGAATCCTTCCAAGTTTAAGTTTTAGTGAGAATTCCTCCACCCTTGATGTCTGTTTATCTGTGTTTCAGTTTCCTGATCTGTAAATTTGAGGCAAAACATCTTACCTTCTGGAATATTGGAGGAATTGAATGATCTGATATAAATAACAGTTCACTGTAAATTATGAATTTTATTTACAAGTTCAATGTAATATATCGTGCTGTTGGAATATTAGGAAGGTCAGTCACATTACCTATGTACATGCCTATAGAACATTCACTCAACTAGTGAATTTTGAGTTTAGTTTAGTTCTTGTTTTTTGTTTAAAGAACTCGATGGATTATTGCCTACATTATACAACGAGGGCCAAATCATCTAGCAAAACAAAACAAAGCAAACAAACAAAAAACCCAATAGTTACTTCTTTTAAACTTGATAAATTTTAAAAAGCAGGGAGAAATGATCATAAGGTCTCCATCTAGAATGTGAAATATGCCATTCAACTGAATATAGCAATCATGAAATTCATGTAAGTTTAGAGGCACTGCCTAAGACAGATGATTTGTTTTCTTTTAGTTATACTGATATAATAGAAATTCAGGAATGAGAGTCACAAAACTTTTTTCCTGACTCTTTGAATGAGAATATAAGTTGATAGAGATAATTAGCTCACACTTCATAACAATAAACTTATCAAGAGGGTGAAACATAACTTTCTTTAAAATGGAAATGTAATTGAAATGGCTTTTTGTTTTTATTGTTGTTCAAGAGGAATATTTCCATAATAAAGAATCCAAAATCACTTATCTGATGATTGATTCTACTTGGGAAAAAAAAAATTGAAGACAGGCAATCTGTGGGAGTTGGTTTACAAAGCATGTGTACAGTATTCTTGACCATCTGCTTCTCTTTGTGTTAGTACATTCATGTAATATTGTTTTGAATGCTGACTCAAATTTCATTTATAAATTTCCTTGATGCACAGAACATGATAGAATATGGAAAGC